AGAGCTCTGCCCTTCGACAGGCCTTTTGGCATAACTTTTCTCCGTGACTTTTGCACGACAGGAAATGCAATTGGCCTTCCTCAATATCAGGCGCCTCCTTGCATCGGCTGCATCACAGGGAGGGGAAGGGCCATCAATACGCAGGTGCATGCCTTGTATTATTTAATTTTTATTTTTTTATATTTTTATTTATTTTTTATTTTCTTTTATTTTTTTCTTATTTTTTATTTTTTCAACATTACAGCCTTACTCTAGTGTATTTTTTACACTAGGTTTTCTTTTATTTTCTTTTAGGCTCTCGTTTCGACCGCTTTCCCTTGCTCTCTTTCCCTTTACAGGATCCGAGTCGGCGGGCCTTTTCTTCGGGCGCTCTGCCCGCCCTCAGCGCCTTCCATGATGTCATTTTACAGCGCGCTTGGCGTCCTCCGCGCCTCGTGCTCGGGGCGGGAACCGATGTTCCACTCGCCCTCCGATGAACTCTATCCTCGCGCCCTTCAAGAAGCCATTCCTGCCGTTATTGGTCAGGCAGTAGAGGTCGAAGACGACGAACGTCGCAGCTGACGCTCCTTGCCCAGCGCCGCGACCTCACGCCCTTGGCTGCGTGCTCAATCAACTTCACTCCCGTCTGGACCCGGCACCTTGATGGGAGGAATACTCTGCCAGCGAGGCCAAGTCCATCGCGTCTCGAAGGAGGCCGACAGCTGGTGGGGAGACCCGTGTCCGACTAGCCAAGGCTGCCATGCGTTGACCTCACGACGGCGGAAATGGCCTGCTGCCCTTCGCCGGCGACGGCCATCTCGGAGGACGTGCAGGCGGGGCGGCGCGAGGGTCGAGGTCAAGGATGGACCGGGAGCTGCTCATGAAGTCCAGACCCAGCAGGCTAGGACACTCCCTCAAACGAGAAGCGGAACATCTCGGCAGCACGCGGGTCGACTTGCTCCGGGCAAAGGGCTGGACGGCTGTTAAGTTGATATTGTAGCTGCGTGAAGAGCATTTGGATCGCCTTAGAGTTGGCGTGTATACTGGGTTCTGCAATGATATAGATCAGGCTGGGGCGTTGTCTCGCAGCTTTGTGGCGGTGTTCTTCTGAACGACAGCGGGTACAGTGTAGGGAACGATGCACGGTGTCTCCACAGAAGAGGCACCGAGGTGTTATACCATTATCCGTCTCTGTACCGTAGCAGGTTTATGAGGTATACGTGTCTGGTGGGGGTGAGCCCGTGGGATGCGGAGTCCTAAGAAGGAGGAGCTTCAGAAGTGGAGAGACTTTACGGTGTTCGACTCTGGCATTATGATGTCGCCGTCAGTTACATGCGGGCTTAGCGCCTTAAAGATAACATAGGTGGAGGGGAGGCTAGATGAGGTTAGAGATCTGCTGTGCCTGGTAGAGGGGAATTGTAGGTACATGGTGGCGGTGGCTGCGGGTCCTGGGGACAGCGGTGTGTTGAGTTCAGTTTGGTATGTGTAGATAGATGTATATATAGATTAGAGAGATATAGTGTGGATATGTGTGCATGGACGAATGTGTGTGTGTATGTTGTTGCAAATGTGAGAGTGGTGGGGTGTGGTGTGTGTGTGTGGTGGGTGTTGTGGCATGTGGAGTAGTATTGTGTTGTGTGTAGTGGATTGTTGAAACACTATGAGAATAACTGTGTGTGTGATTATTACTCATAGTGTGTTCGTATGTAGGAATAGATATGAGTCATGAGTTTTAAGTTGCTCTATGGGAGTGACGAGTTATATTTATGTTATTATTCATTATATAGATTCTAGTTATGGTTTATTCGATCTGAATTTCTAGATGAGGTATCGTGGATTCGTACGAGTTGGGTTAGACGTGTTTTAAGGATTGGGAGATGGTAGCTTTTGTAAGTAGTATGATGGTTGGTCACTTGCATGAATGGTGGTCTGATTAAGGTTGAGTGAGTTGTGGTTAGAGGGAGTGAGGTATTAGGGTAGGTGTGTTGTGTGTGTGGTGTGTGTGTATATATGAGTATATATATATTATAATTATATATATATATATATATATTATATATATATAAGAGAGAAGAGAGAGTGACAGAGAAGGGAAAGGTGGTGGTGGTGTGTTGTGTGTGTGTGTGTTGAGTTGTGTGTGTGTGTGTGTGTGTGTTGTGTTGTGTGTGTGTGTGTGTGTGTGTGTGTGTGGTGTGTGTGTGTGTGTGTGTATGTGTGTGTGTGTGTGTGTGTGTGTGTGTGTGTGTGTGTTGTGTGTGTGTGTGTGTGTGTGTGTGTGGTGAGATGTGTGTGTGTGTGTGTGTGTGTGTGTGTGTTGGGTTTGTGTGTGTGTGTTGTATGTCTGTATGTTGTGTGTGTGCTCCGCTATGTGTTGTAATTGGTGGATCATGTGGTTGTGTGCTTTTCTGGCGTAGTGTGTATGTTGTGTTAGGGTGTGTGGTGTGTTTGGTTTTGTATATGTATGTGTTGTGGAGACGCTTACATGTGTGTTTCCGAGATTATGGTGTTGTGAGATAATGTGTTATTTATGCTTTGAATGTGTGTGTTGAGGTGTCTCTGAAATTTTAGGTATCAGGTTAATGTGTGTATGTAAGGTAGGTGCGTGTGGTGCTTTTATGGGTGTACAGCGGGTGTGTGTAATGTGGTGTCGGTACGTGTAGTGGGTGAGTGTTTGTGTTTTGTACGCGCGCCGCGCTGGAACGCGGCGGCGCGCGGTTAGTGTGGTTGTGTGTGTAGTGTGTGTGTTTGTGTGTGGTGTTGTGTGTGTGTTGTGTGTGTGATGTGTGTGTTTTGTCTGTGTTGTGTTTGTGTTGGTGGCTGGGTCTCGCTGTGTGGTGTGATTTGTGTGTTGTGTGTTGATGTGTGGTGAGTGTGGTCGTGTGTGTGTGTTATGTGTGTGTGTGGGTGTGTAGTGTGTGGCGTAGATAGTTGTGTGTGTGTTTCGTGTGCGTGTATGTTTGTTGTGTGTGTGTGTGTGTGTGGTGTTCGGTGTCTATCATTGTGTGTTTCTGAGTTGTTGTGTATATGTGTATATGTGAATGTGTGTGGTGGGGGTGTCTCTGTACTACTTGATGTGCGTCAATGTGTGTTGTAGAGTGTGTTGTTAGGTGTTGTACGACGGGTGGTGTAGTTTTTACGAGTGGAAGTGAGGTGATTTGTGTATGTCGCGCGCGCAAGCTGCGGCGGAGCGCGCTGCAAGTGGTGTGTGTGTGTATGTGTGTGTGTGTGTGTGGTGGTGTTTGTGTGGTGTGTTTTGTGTGTGTGTGTGGTGTGTTGTGTGTGTGTTTGTGTGTGTGTTTGTGTGTGTTGTGTTTTGTTGTGTGATGTGTGTGTGGTGTGTGTGTGTGTGTTGTGTGTGTGAGGTGTGTGCTGTGTGTGTGTGGCGTTGTGTGTTGTGTTGTGTGTGTTGGTGTTATGATCGTTGTGATGTGTGTGTGTGTGTGTGTGGATTGTGTGGTTGTGTGTGTGTGTGTGTGTGTGTGTGTGTTTGTGTGGTGTGTATATAATATATATAGCATATATTAAATAGTACTTATATATATGTACTTGATATATATTTTTATATGTATTGGTATATAGTTTATAATTATATATTAGTATTATATTATGTTAAGTATGTATATATACTCTCGTCTCCTTGCCTTTTCTTACTCTTCTATTCTCTCTGTTCTACTTTGTTCTCTTTCTGTTTCTCTCTCATTCTCGTCTCTTTCTCGTCACGTCTCAAGATCCAGGTGGTGTTCTGTCTCTCTGTTGCTGCTTTGCTCTCTTTTCGGTTTCATTCCGAGTGGACTTTCCCGTTAGCGTTATGTCGGTGTCTTCGGTAGCTTCTTCTTGGTTCTTCCTCTCTCTCTCGTCTTCCTTCTGTATTCTTCTCTCTCGTGTCGTCATCTCTCTCTCGTCGGGTCTCTCTCTTCGTTGTCTCGTTCTCATTTCTTCCTCTTGGCTCTCACAAGCGCTCTTCTGTGATTCTTGCGAAGTGTCGTTTAAGCATCTTGTATGGTGCGTCATTGTCTATCTCTCTCTATCCTTCTCGTCTCTTTCATTTCCGTCTCTCTTTCTCTCTCTCGTTCTCTCCTCTCTCTCTCCCCCTCTTCGCCCCTCTCCTCTCCCTCCTCTCTCTCTCCTCCTCTCTGACTCTCGGTGGCGTACACTCTGCGTCCCTTCACACCTCTTCCTCTCCCTCCCCTCTCTCTCTCTCTCTTCTCTTCTTCTCTTCTCTCTTCTCTCTCTATCTTTGCGATGCTTCTCGGGTCGCTGTTCTCTAGCTCTCATCTCTCAGTCGTCTCTCTTTCTCTTCTCCTTTCTCTGTGTTCTGCTTTTTTTTTCTCGATCTTTCTCTTTCTCTTTTCTCTTCCTGTTCCTCTGCCTCTCGTCTCTCGTTCCATCTCGGGTATGTCGTCTCTTTCACTCTGGTATTCGTTGTGGTTTATTCTTCTCCTCCTTTCCATCTGAAGGGACTCGGGATCTTCGGTGCTCTCTTCGATTTTGCTCTCTCTCTCTCTCTCTCTCTCCTCTATCTCTTCTCTCTCTCTCTCTCTCTCTCCCTCTCTTCTCTCTCATCCTCTCTCTTCGTCTCTTCTCTTCTTCTCTCTCCTACTCCCTCCCTCCCTCCTTCCCTCTCTTCTCCTCTCTTCCTCCCTCCTCCCTCCTCCCTCCTCTCTCCCTCTCTCTCTCTCCTCTCTTCCTCTCTCCCTTCTCCTCCTTCCTCTCGCTCCTCCTCCCTTCCTCTTCCCTTCTCCTCTCTCTCTCCTCTCTCTCTCTCTCCTCTCCTCTCTTCTCCCTCTCTCCTCCTCTCCCTCTCCCTCCCTCCTCCCTCTCTTCTCCTCTCTTCCCTCTCTTTCTCTCTCTCTCTCTCTTTCCTCTCCTCCCTCCTCTCTCTCCCTCTCCCTCCCTTTACTGTGTCTCCCTCTCCTCACCCTCTCTCCTTCCCTTCCCTCCCTCCTCTCTCCCTTCCTCCCTCCTCTCTCTCTCCCTCTCCCTCTCCCTCCCTCTCTCCGTATCGTTAGTGTAAGCGACGACTCAGCCAGGAGTCATGGAGGCCGATGACGAGACACCAAAGACGACCCTCGCGTAGGAAAAAGGAGAAAAGGCGCCGTTTATTAATGTGTAAATGGTGATTTTTTATGCCCTGTTGGTTGGCCAAGGTAGGAGCTTGGTGGAGGAAGGGCCGGGAGGGGGAGATATGAATGAGGGAGGGGGTTAATGAGGCTTTTTGAGGGACGTGTGTCTGTGGGTGAGAGGGAGAGAGAGAGACTTTTTGGCGAGAGTTTTGGGACTCGATTTGTAAAATTGTTTTTTTAAGGGGATGGAGGCGGTCACAGTCTTATGTCAGGGTGTGAGGAGGTAGATAGTAGATAGATGAACGTGCGTGGGTGCTTGTAGTTGTAGAATGGTGAATGGTTTGGGTTGTATAAGCCTTTAAAGAGGAAAGTAAATGTCTTTGTTAGCTGGAATGGCAACAGAGAGGGAGAGAGATATGAGATGATCACTTTTTTCTCTTATTTTACTTTTTAATGGTGGAGATTTTATCCGTTTGGGGACACCTAGAGCAAGGGCAAAGCGGGGGTATATAGCAGGAATGCTGTATCACGTGCGAGTAATTTGTATTAATGTATTGGTGTGTTTTTTATTTTTTTATTTTTTGGTCGATTTTAAGATCTAAATTCGCAGAGTTGGCAGTTATGGGGTTTTGGTTATTGTCTTGGACACGGCCTCTTCAAATGGTGCTTTGGTCTCCAGTCTTTGCGCTGCGGTAAAGCCTAGGTAACCTTTAGAGCTTCGGTGGGTTTCGTATTTAACAATGAACTGCCAGGGAGTTTGACAAGCATCATCTTGCTAGAATATATGAGCATAAAATGCCGAGACCATGGCATTCCTTGGAGCAGAGATCTTGTAGACATACTAGGTGCTCTCCTGTTTTCTTAGCTTTAGTGTCTAGGGTCTAAACCTCCAATAATATCCTGTATATTGAGGTTATATTGAGGTTGCATAAGTCTTAGGAGGGTTCATTGTCAAGCTCTTGCCGCAGCTTCCAGGTTTGTGGCACTTTGGCAAAGACAAGCACGCCTCCACCTTTCTTGATTACTTGGTATAAGTCCCAGCAAAAAATATGTTCGTAGCGCATTTCAGGGGACTTCTTGCCTTGTTTCAGCTGCTTAAGAACTTCATAGAATTTGATTCATTCCTTTTAGCATGATGGGACTTAGACTAGATCTTTATCTAACGACTAGTTTCTCATCTGATAACAAATTGACGGAGATGTTACCGCGATCTCTCTTGCTAGAGTTTAGGCAAGAGGTTTGTTGGCCTTTTGCTAGATTGCTGAAGGTGCGTG